TCCCTATTTTTCTTGATTTCTCTACCTCTCTGACCTTTTCTTTCGACCTTTCTTTCTCTCTCTGCTCCTCGGTCTTCTCCCTTGTCTTATTTTTCTCTTTCTAGTCCTCTGTTCTGCTCCCCATCACTGTATTTTCTTTCTTCATTTCTCTGCCGTGCTCCCCCTCCCTTTCTTTCTTTCTTTCTCCATACCTATGTGCAGCTCCCTGTCCCTCCCTCCCTGTCATTATCCTTGCATCCCTCATTGTCTCTCCATCCCTCTGTCCTGCTCCCCATCCCTAATTTTCCTTTTCCATTTCTCTGTCCTGCTTTCAGTCCCTGTTTTTCCTCTGGCTTCATCTCCCTGTCATTCTCCCTGTTGCTCTCGCTCTCTATCCCAGTGTCCTGCTCCCCATCCCTCTCTTTTTCTCTGTATCCCATTTTCTCACGCTCTGTCCCTCACTTGTTTTCTGTATCCCTCTCTTTTTTCTTTTTACCCTTCTGATGTGTGTCCCACCATGCCCCCCCTTTTATGTGTCCTGGTCTTTCTCTCTACATCCTTCTGTCATTCTCCATCTCTTGCTCTTCTTGCTCTTCTTCTCTCTCTTCCTCTGTCCTATTCACTGCCCCATCACTATTTTTTTCCTCCTCCATCCCATACAGAAATAGCCCCACACTATTTGTTGGTCTTTCTCCATCTCTCTCTGTCCGGCTCCCTGCTGCTATTTTTTATTTCCTCCCTATCCATCTTGTAGCCCATCACTGGTTGTTTTTTTTTTTCTTTTTCCATGTCTCCCTGTCCAGCTCCCTGTCCCTGTTCTTTAATTCCTCCCTCTTCCCTGTAGCCCACCGCTATTTTTTCCTGTTCTCCATCGTGCTCTCTCTGGTCCCCTGTCCCTATTGATCAATGCCTCCCTCTCTGCCCTGTGGCCTGTCTCTTTTCCCCATCTTATTTCTGCCTCTATCTCTGTCCGGCTCCTTTAATTCCTCCTCTCCGCCCTGTAGCCTGTCGCTTTTGTCCTTTCTCCATCTCACTGTCTTTGGCTCTGACCCTATTTTAGAATTTCCCCCCTCTTCTTTCTGTACACATTGCTCTTCCTTTTGCTCTCCAGCTCTCTTTTTTTTTCCGGCTCCCTGTCCCTGTTTCTTAATTCTTCCCTCTCTGCCCTGTAGCGTGTAGCTATGTGGTTTGTTTTGTGTTGTTCCCCTCACCCTGCCCCTTCCCTCCATCGTTCACTGTCCTGGCTCCCTGCCCATATTTTTTTTTTCTCCCTCTCTGTCATGCTGCCCATCCCTGTTTTTTTCTGCATCTCCATCCTGCTCCCCACCCTTCTTTATCGGTCTCTGTCCTGCTCCTTCTCCCTCTTTCTGCTGACTCCCTTCCTCTCTCCCTGTTGCTTCTTTCTCCATCTCTGTCAGGCTCCTTGTCCCCATCTTTCTTTGGCTGTCCTGTTCCCTGCCTCATGCTTTCTCACTACACCCCCGCTGTCCAACAGGCTGACACTTTTCTTTTCTAGTGTCCTGTGCCCTGCTACTCAATTTTTGGTGGCCTCCGCCTCTGCCCAGCGTTCATCGCTCCAGGAGCTGACCGACCGACTGTCCGTTCCCCGCCGGACTGACGAGCGCGGCTCCAGGAATGACTGCTGAGGTGTCCCAGGGGCAGGGGGAGCATTGGAGGCTCCAAGCCCCGGAGCAGACTTGCTCCCGGGACTTGTTACGTGCGTGACTGAATAAACACTCGCCGCCTCCTTTGCCCTCACGGCTGCGTTTGCGCTTCCTTTGCACCGGGCGAGGGGCTGTGATGGAGCCCAGGGGAGGGGATGACGCACGGTGGGGGCTGGGTGATGGCTGCCTGTTCCTGCCGGGCTCCAGCTCTGGGCTTGGGCCAGAGGAGCCCCAGGTGCGGGCAGTGAGGCTGATGGCGACGGCCCCTCCCTGTAAAGGGGCTGTGTTGCAAGAGTAGCTGCAGGCTGTGGGGCTGGTGGTGGGGCTGCCGTGCCCCGGGTGGCCGTGGAGGGGCCGGTGTGAGCCAAGGGAGGAGCGGAGCGGTCGCTGAGCGAGGGGGGCGGCGAGGCCGGCAGGAGGGTCGCGCCGCCTCGGAGCCGGGCGGCAGTGGCCGTCCGGAGCCACGCTGGGGAACGCGGGGCTGCGCTGGGGGCTGGGCGGGGCTTCCGGGTGCGTCGGCGGGGGGAGAACGGTGTCCCCGCAGGGTCAGGGAGCGGGGACGGCTGCCTCCCGCGGCATGCCGGGAGCTGTAGTCCTGGGGCACGGACTTCCTGTCGGCCATGTTTGTTCCCCGGAGCATGCCGGGAGGTGTAGTCTTCCGTCACTCGG